GCATTGACAAATGAGCTGCCTATTTGGTGGGGGAGGGGAAGAGTCAAGTAGAAGTTTTGCAGGGTTGGTTTGTTTGTACAGTTTTTGCAGGGTTCTGTTCAGGGCTGACAACAAGTTGATGCCATGCCCTGCTTTCTACAGCCTCCTTTCACCAACACTATTATTTCTCAAGCCTGACATGCTATGTCGTTGGGGTTATTTTGAGAAGGCATGTCCTTCCTTAGCCTTAGTTTTTCAGGAGACTTGTTTTGTATGTTAGTATTTCTCTTTATCTCCAAACAGGTTATCAGGGGAGTGGACGGTTAGTGTGTGTTTTATGGCCACACTGTAATTGGTTAACCAAGGGGCCGCCTCTTTCCGGGGGCCCTGCCTAGTTTCAGCAGCTGGAGAGCGGCCCACTTACTGGTTCTGTAGACAGCAGAGCATAGTCAGGTGACATGATTTGGCCCTGTTATCACTTTGGGGTTCATACCTTGGCTGTCACCCTTAAAACTTCTGGCCTAGGGCAAGTTACTTACCTTTGCTGTGCTCAGTTTCCTCATCTTTGAAAGTAGGGCTAATGATAATATCTGTTTAAATAAGATAACATATGCAATAGGCTTAGCACAGTGCTTTATTAATTGGTTTTCTTGTGTTTAAAGAAGCAAATCCCCATATGATCTTTTAGTCTGGGCTCCTTGCACCCTGGCTTCCTTTCATTTATGTGGAAACCAGGTGAGCAAATGTGAAATTGAAGAGACAGCTGACCACTTCACGTCTTGAGTCTCTCTCCCAGGTCTTTCATTCTGTTGACAGTCCTGCCAAGAAAAAAAAAAAAATGTTTTCTCTGTGTCTTTGAATGCAGGCTCACTAAAAAGTAAAGGTGTTCTGGGCTCAGATTTCTCAAGAATTGAGCAACTCGGTCTTGTAGAATTTGCAAAGGGGGTAGTCTGCAGGGTTATCTGAGAACATCCAAGCCCTGCAGCAGCTTCCGAGGAGTTGTGCTTCTGCCGGGCTGGTACACTGGGAAACCTCTTTGGCAAAGAAAGCAATGTCCCCGCGTGGTATGTTTCTTCCCCCAGTGCTCTGTGTTGCTGATACTGTAATTCTCCATAGGAACCCACTGGGGCCTGAAACAATTCATTTCTTTAATTAAGTTTACCTTTTTCCTAGTGATGGATATTACTGATATCATACGTGGGAAGGTAGATGATGAAGAAAAGCAGCATTTCATCCCTGTTCAGCAGTAAGTACTTTGGCGTTTATCCCGGGTGACTTGATCCCTAGATTAGCGCCTGGAATGGTGTGTCAACACGGACCCAAGGGCTGGGAACCATTTGCTCAGCTAGAGAAGGAAAGCCTCGCTAGCTGGAAGAGTGTCAGAAAGGAGCTGACTAAGAGTTTATTCGAAGTCCTTTATATTGGGCTCTAATTTAAGTGGGTAAATTAAACATTCCTGGTTCTACAAATGACCAAAGGAATATAAGAGGCAAATCAGTGTCTTCACTAGAAACAGAGAATGGTGCCATTGAAGTGTCGGAAATGCCAAAGGATGTCTGTACTTTGTCACATGGAACAGGTATCACGGAAGACAAAGAATCACGTAGGACAGCAACAGGTCTTCTCAAACTGTCACATGCATGTGAATCACCTGGGACCTTGTTAGAATGCCAGACATCATCCGGTGGGTCTGGAGCGTGCGTCTAACAAGCTCCCCGGTGATGCTGTTGCTGCTAGTCTGGGGACCACACTTGGAGTGGCAAGAGTTCAGGAGGTGTGAGAGTGAAGGCTGTCTAATCCACGGGTTCCTGCGAGTGGCAGGAAAGCCAGCCTAGGAGGACATGCAGGGATTCCCTGAAGAGCCCTACCAGAGCAGTCCTCCACGCTGAGCTCAGGAGCTGGTGCCTGCGTAGGCCCCAGGGGAGCTGCTGGTGAGCAAATCCCAATCCTCATACCTCTGAAGAAGTATCTCTGTGAACATGATGACTGGTTCTAGCAGCCATGCTCCACTTCCCTCATGCACAGGTGGTGGGGCCTAGTGAGGCCGGGGACTTTGACCAAACTGACTCCTAACAGATTAGTCTTGTCAGTAACAGAAAGTGACTATCACAGTAGATCAATATGACCATTTGAGGATTCCAGAAACCAGCCCAAGGATATTTGAGTGAATATATTTATTAATAAATAATATGATTATGTGATATTAAAATTATTGTAAGAATAATTTTAATCATCAGTGGAGAAAGATCAACGATGCCAAAAAATTGTTTGAGAAGATGAGCTAACCATTTTCTAACCATTAGAGCCTTATCTTACAGCTTACACCATTATAAACTCCTGATGATTAAACATACACCTGTAAGAGCCAAAATCTTAAAATCCTGTAGGAAAATAGAAGTTTTATGTAATAGTGTAGGTGGGAGGCCTTTCTGAGTCAGATACCAAAGATTCGACCAAAAAAGAAAAACTGATAGATTTGGCCACACAAAAATTTTAAACAACTAATTAATACATACAAAAAATTTAAGAAAGTCTTTGCAATGTGTATGAAAACAGATGAGGATTCTTAATATAAAAAGAATTAATAGTAGTTCATAAAGTCATAAGAAGGAAAAATATACACTGAAAGAAATGGCCTGTAAATTCATTGAGAATCAATAAAGTGTAAATTAAACAATGAGGTTTAGTTTTGGGCTTGACCAAGTTTTAAAAATATATAAGATATACAGTGTTTAGTAGATATAAGGAAATATGTATTATAGGAATATAAATTGTTACAACGAATTAAAATCCTTCAAATTTAGATATTTCTAAGAATATACTTCATAATTAATGCGATTATTTCTGTTGGTGTTAACAATAGGTGTTTTTGCCCCTCTTTTTGTTTAACCCCGTTTTCTTTTTTTTTCTAAAATAAATACATATTACATGTAACATTATTTAAAAGATAAAAATCTTTATCTTTCAATTTAAAGTCCAGCACCTTTGGACCAGTTTCTAAATACAATGGTACAATTAGCTCATGCTAAGTATTACTAATAATACTACTTCCCTCCTTCATCCATAGGTTGCTATTAATAACTTTTAAAATATGCATTTAGCTACTGTCCTATCACCTATAAATACTGATGCTCCAAGAACATGGTGTGGTAAATATTTTATGTAGTTCACTGCTAATAAGAATTATGAGATAACTTTCAAATTCTTGAATACTGTTCCCCATATAAATATATGCATATTTATTTAAGTATATTAAATAAATACAATATATTAAATTTAATAAATATAATATTAAAATATACCATTATTTTATACCAATACATTAAATTAAATGTATTAATATATTCAGTATATTAGTACATCTTATATAAATATTAATGGATAAATATTAGGTATATAAAATATATAGAATAAATGAATATGTAATATACAAAAATATATTATACTTGTAAATATAAATAACTCATATCCATGAATATTATATATACACGTAAAATATAATTATTATACATGTGTCGTGTATCTATATAATAAGAGTGATATTCGTAGATGTGACAGTTATTGTGCTCCATATATAATATTATAAATGTATATAAAACAAGCATAGCATTCTGGAAATGAAAGGTATCTCAAATGTATTTGTTTCACCTGAGGTGGGTTTCTTTCTTTGCTTCCGTGCCTCCCTGCTGAGTTTCTGTACCAAGTCTCGTCTAGCAGCCATGGAGAGGCAGTGTGCCCTCAGATGGTCCCCACTGTGTAATAATGCATGCTTTGAGTCTCAGAGGAGCCCAGCCCTAATTTGATTACCGCTCACTGTGCGGCCAGCAGCCACTGTAAAGCGTCAACGATTTTTTTGCAGCCTCTGGCATTTAACTCCTACGATTTATGGCACAGACTCTCAGAACTTACCTCAAAAGCTGTATAGTGTATGTTATGAGAAGAGTTTTATAGGTGTATTCTGCTAGTCCATCTAAGAGAGAGAGTCATTTGAAAACAACAATTCAGATGAAAGCAAGCCCACTTTTCAGTAACATATTGTCAGGAGACAGATCTGAACTCTACAGAGAAAGCTGGCCTGCCTAGTGGGCAGGAGAACAAAACCACAGCCGAGAAGACTGGAGACCATTGTGCGGGTACCAGGCTGATACGTAGTTACGGACAGCGCTGGAGCTGTCAATAGAATGGGGGCTGTGTTTGGTTCTTTGATCACCCTGTCCGAGCCTCAGCCTGATGTGAACGTTGAGGTGAAGCTTGTTGGCTGGTGCCTATGCCACTGCGGCCGGAAATGTAGTTCGTCATCACATGGGAATCTAAGGACCCCCTCCAAGAGCCTCTGCATACATACTGCTCTTGAAAATTGAGTGTTGGCGCTAGACGGGGCCTTCAAGGCATAGGATCAGGCCCATCTCCGTACAGACGAGGACACCAAAGCCCAGAGAGGAGACTCGCGGAGCTCACTGCCAAGTAGAACCAGCACTGGAGGCCATGTCTCCTCCCCCTTCCCCAGCCCGTCTTTGTTTCCATGACACCAGCCTCGCCCACGCATAAAGAGCATCAAGTGTTGCTTCTGATTTTAGTTTTAACATTCGGCCATCAGTGTTATTTTTCTTGTTTTTATTATTCCTTCTTTGCCCGAAGTCATTTGCAAGATGAATTTGGTGTCTACGATAGGCACCCAATGGAAAAATAAAGGAGAGATAAAAAGAGTCCTGTAGTTAGGTTTGTTTAGTGTTTCTATTTCCAAACCATTCCCATAGGACCCACCACTATCTGAGCCTACTACAGACATGTCCTCTTTTTTCCTTACCTCTCGTTTCCGACTTTCCCAGAATTGCCATGGAAACCTATATCCGGCAGAGGCAGCTAATCATGTCCCCTCTGATAACATCCCATGTGATCGGGGAGAATGAGCCACTCACTTCAGTCTTGAATAAAGTGATAGCAGCGAAGGAAGTGAACCACAAAGGACAAGGTACACAGCTATGTGCTTAGCTGGGAAGGGACTTCGATGGGGTGGGGGAGGTAACACGCAGAGCTGGGTCCTTGGACTCCTGCCCCTTCATTGTCTTTCTCTGGAATAAAACAGACCCTGCTGGGGATTGCCCAGCTCAGCTTCCTGCTGAGGGCATTTAATACTGAAGAGCACCTAGAATCTACCTAACACTGAATTGGATCACGGCTGTCCTTTGTAAATCCCACGGAACAAATTTTTGTGCCATGAGTCTTTCCCCACTTTTGTCTACCGTGCAATTCTTGACTCTACGTAAAGGCACAAAGACAGAGGATTTTGAGTCTGTCCTCTGAATATGTTTATCACACTCCATTTCCTAAAATTGAGAAGAACAAGACCAAAGTAATGCAAATGAATTTGTAATAACATGTAATAATGGGCTATCAAAAACGGTTATAGTATCGCCACTGAAGACACAGTTTTAACTAAGAGAAGTTCTGCTTATTGAAACTGCACTTTAAATTCAAATGACAAGGGAAAGTCGTTAAACATTTTAAATTCAAATACCAAGACAGTGATGATTTTTGGATAATTTTAAAGATTGGATCACTTTTTTTTTTTTTACTACCCTGTAACTATCTTCCAAAGTGGAGGCAATCAGGAAATACATTATTTTCAGCATATTTAGTTTCCATGTATTTCCAGTTATCCTGAGTGGAATGACATGTGAGGAGTCATTAAAGAATCAAAACAAGTAACTAAATATATTTCTGTATGTACCTCTGTCCTTATATTATAATTTGTTAGAGTGGAAAACGCTTAAACAATAAATTGTTCTGTATGTATAATTTTTTTAACAAAACTAAATATATATATATACACACACACACATACATACATACATACATATATATGTATGTATAAAAAAATTCTCTTGCTGCTTCACAAAACAAAGCACTTTTTAAATGTTTTTATGCTCTTCACAAATATCCTTTGTGGCTTCATAAATCCATTAAATCCATTAAATCCATTGCTTGGATTTAAGTATAATAAATGAAATGCCCTATGTAAACACTTAGTGTTCTATAATTTTTCACCATTATAAACTTAAATAACTTTGCTAAGACTGTATACATGCAGTTTTTTTCCCATATTTACAACCGCCTCCCTCCAAAGTTCCCAGAAGTAGGCGTTCTGGGTCAAATGATGGGAACAAGCTTAAACCTAGAAAAATATATATCGCCAAATTACTTTCCATAGATTTCTACCACTGGGCACTAATTACCACTTTGCCCAATTTTGCCCAGATTTGCAAAAACTGATATTTCAAAACCTTTACCTGTTTGAAAGGTGAAAAGTAGACTTCCATAGTTGTCTTGCATTTTAAAAAACTACTCGATGGTGAATTGTATGGCCTTTATATGTACTTATGAATTTTCTAAAGTTTTCCTTCTCAGTTTTTATGAGCACTTTATATAATGAAGATAAAACCTGTCTTATTTAGGACACATGTTTTCAATTTTTGGTTTGCCAAATATTTATAAACTTCTGTACTTCCTTGTGGATTGTCTATTCATGTCCTGTTTGTTTGTGAGGATCTTAATGTTTTCTTCTAATGAGTATAAATTTATAATTTCTTTTAAGTATTTCACCATTTTGTAGTATGCCTTTTGCTTTTATACAAAGATCAGGACTTTCAGTTTGTATATAGGTAATCCTTTTGCTTTTGTGATTTCATTTGTTTCTCTACTTAGAAAAATGGTTCATTCCCAGGGATTTCATAACTGTACGTTTATTTTTTCTTTTCATTCCTTGTCTTTTTTATTTACTTATTTTTTTACATTAGGAATTTATTTTAATGGAAATATAAGGTGAGAAATTAGATCGATCCTGTTTTAAGTAGCAAGATTATCCCAGCACATTTATGAAATTGTTTCTTTTTTCATGATTTGTTATTCCTCTTTTGCTATATGTTAAAGTGCCATATAGTACAGTACTTAATCTCATTGTTTTCACTGATTTATATATATATATATATATATATTTTACTACTAATATCACAATTTACTATAGCTTTACGCATTTTGGTGTCTGATAGGAGCTATCTTTATTCTACCTTTCCCCAAAGTACACATCTGTTTACACCTCTGTCAAACTCTTGAAGAAGTCCTGTTGTGATTTAGATTGGATTGTCATTAAAGTTGTAAGTTAACTCGGGGAGAATTTTCATCTTTATTATACGGTATTTGTATATCAATACAACACATATTTTTCTCGGTGTTTGTGGGTTTATTATATAGATCATACAGAGAACTGAGTTTATCTCTTGTTTCTTTAAAGGACTTTGGGTGTCCTTGAAGCTATTGCCAGGTGACCTCACGCAAGTTCAGAAGAATTTTTCACACTTGGTGGATAGATCAACAGCAATTGCCCGAAAAATGGGCTTTCCGGAAATAATACTTCCAGGTAAACACTTTGCTTGATTCACCTGTTCTGCTTCCTCTAGAACTTCCTTCCATGAAGCAGTTACTTCTAACAGGACATGGAACAGCATAGATCCATAGATTTAGTTATCTGCATTCAATGATATCAAGACTGGGAGATCCAAACAGGGTTGCAGTGCCTTAAAAATCTACCCAGTGTGCAAGCCCAACGCTTTTAAATAGAACCCAAATTTATCTGTTCACCCTCTCTTCCTGTATGTTCTGCATAAGCCCCTCTGAAATGCCTTCCTAGACCGTCATCAAGTAGAGCTAATGAGGGCACTTGCTCTCCACCCTGAGAATAATCTGCTCCGTTTGCATGTACCTTTTCTCGCGATGACATCACCAGCATCATGGGCTCCTTGCTGGGAAACTCAAGTGAGACGCCTGCTCAGTTCAGTCCCAGCTGGACCCTCTGTTCCATATGCTTCAGCTCCAACTGTGTTCTTTGCTCTCCCCATACGTGTGGTGACAATGCAAACACTCCGCAGTCTCTTACTTTAGTTTCATCTTATTTGCCACCACATGTTGGTGATCTACATATGTGTTCCCTTGAATTCACTGATTTAACCCATTTAATGTCTTAATTTTTATAGTAGTAGAAGGAAATCATTCCCTCAAGGAACTTTATGTAATACATGGCTGTGTTATAAAAAGTATATGTGTTATAAATAAAGAGCAAAATGTGAATATATTATATATTCTATAGACAGAATATATAAACAAATCTTTGACATGTTAGAAAAATTCTAGAAAATGAAGCTGTCACATAAAAATTCAGGTTCTTTTAAAGTAATACAAGATCTTTTTTCCTTTGGGAGATTAAGGAGCAGTAATAATTTGTTGTTGCACATATTGTCTGCATGTAGTAGGTATTAAAAGAATATTTGTGGAATGAATGAGTCAAAACAGAGCTATAAAAATGGGAATTAAGTAATTTTATGAAAGAAGGTAGTTCTTCATGTGCCTTCCAGAGCCTTTTCACCCTAATACATATTCATCAACATCCTGGGGAAATGTTTTGTCTTCCTGTTTAAAAAATAAGTATGCGTGATATTCCTATAACTGAAGGCAGTTTTATTGCTACAGCAAGACAGAAATCTGAAAAAAATAACCTACAGAAGTTTATTTCTTTGGATAAGGGAATGTATCTTTGAAATCTAGCTGGAAAGATTTTGTGTATTAATAGGACTGCAAGGGCTATAATAGACTTTAAAATCATCTAGACTGAGGGTTCCCAAATGCTAACCTTGAATCATCTGAGAAACATTAAAATACAGATTCTCAGATTTTTCCAGAAACTCTGATTCAGTTTGTAAGACCAGGGCTCCCCAGGTGATGGGCCAGGTTTGAGAAATGTAGATCTAGACCAAAGTCCCTCACCTCATAGCTCCTTCTCGTCGTCATTTCAACAGGCTCTAGATGTGTCTTAAGCTCCTGCCGCTACCCCACTTTCCCCTCTAGCTAAGGCATTCTTCCTTTCTGCCCTCATCTTCACAGCTAGATTCTTGGATGTGATTATATACTGTTTTCATACCTGCTAGTCACCCTCCCACTGCTCCAGAATGGCTGTCACCAGAGTCACCAAAGTTTGCAGTGCCACTAAGTCCAAAGGATATTTTTTAGCCTAGTGATCATCTCTGGTCTTTCGGCAACATGTGGCACTGTTGATCACGCCCCTCTTGAAGTATTCGCCTCTCATCATCGGATGAGTGTGAGATGACAGCACTCTCATCTCTTTGTCTTCATTCCTTTGAGGCCTCTCCTAGGACTCCTCTGCCACCTTATCACCTTCTACCTCACCGTTAAATGTTAGAGTTCCTCAATATTTGGTCCTTAGGCCCTGCTTTAGTCTGCTAGGGCCACCATAAGATTGCTGGGTGGCTTAAACAACTGAAGTTTATTCCCTCACAGTTCTGGGTGCTGGAAATCCAAGATCAAAGTGTCAGCAGGTTTGGTTTCTTCTGAGGCCTCTTTCCTTGGCTTGCAGATGGCCACATTCTCCTTGTGTCCTCACGTGGTCACCCCTTGGTCTGTGTGTTATCTGTGTCTTAATCTCTTCTTATAAGGACACCAGTCATATTGGATTAGGGCCCAATGTATGGCCTCCTTTTATCTTAATCACTTCTCTAAAGGGCCTCGCTCCAAATACAGTCACATTTTGAGGTGCTGAGGGTTAGGACTTCAACATAAGAATTTAGGGGGCACAATTCAGCTCATACCAGGCCCCTTTTGCTTCTTATATTCTCTCCCTAGGTGATCTCATCTGCTCGCTTGGCCTGTGTATGTTAGTTGCCTTTAAATCCATATCTCTCACCCCAGGACTACTCCTCTGAACTGCATTACTGTAGATCCAACTACTTCCTGCCTTAAAACTTAGTAGGTACTGTTCTCACCCCTGATCACTCTTCTCCTCTCTTTAATTGGGTGATTCTTACTTAGAATCGCCATTTGGAACTCATAACCCTGTGCATCTACACTCAGCTCTTCTCCTGTGTTTTATCTAAGAGAGTGGCACCCCCATCCATCCAGTTGCACAAGCAAGAAGCCTGAAAGTCACCCTTGACCCCTCCCTATCGTGTACACCCCATACAAAACTTGTGGATAAGACCTGCCAGTTTTACCTTTGAAAGGCCTCTCAACACCATCCCCTTCTCTCCATCACTGTTGCCACTACCCGAGCTCTAGCTACTGTCATCTCTTCCCTGGACAACTGCTGTATCACATCCTAACTGATTTCCCAGTTTCTGCTCTTGTTTTCCTCATATCCTCTTCTTCACACTATAGCAGGAGTGATCTTTTATGATTTCATCTACTCCTCCCTGCTGAACACATTTTGTTGACTTCTGTTTATATTTAGGATGAAGATACAAATTCTTAACTTGGCCTTCAAGCCTCAGGGAGGCTTGTCTCTTGTCTGTTTCTGTAGCCTCATCCTCACACCAGATCCCACCTCACTGTGGACACTTCCAACATGTGTCTACTACCTCTGGGGCTTCGCCATGCTGCTCTCGCACCTCCTTACTTTCATCTTTCCAATATCAGGTCAAAGGAAAGATTCCCACACCCTCCAGTCCAGGTTGGGACTTAGGGTGATGCTTTCACAGAGCCTGGCCTGTTCCTTCCTTTGTAATGATGCATTTCATCATGTGGTTGGCTGATAATGCTTCTCTTCCCCCACTAGACTGTAAGCTGGATGAGAGTGAGGCTGGTGCGTGGCTCACCGTTGTCTCCCAGACACCTAGCACAGGGCTTGGGACAGAGTAGGTGCGCAGTCAGTTTTTTAACTGAATATTATCTCACCTGATTGTACCATCACTTATTCAAACAGCCATCAATGGCTGGACATTGAGGCTGTTTCCAAGTTTTCACTTTCATAACAAATACCACAATGAATATCATTATGGATAATCATTGCCTACATTTTTAATACTTGCTGTATCAGTTAAGGCTTTTGACATAAACTGTCAACTTCTCCATTGACAATGAGTATGTCAATTAAGATGTCAAACTGGAATGTATAAATAAGCCTCTTTTTCTTCACCCTCACTAACTGTGAACAATATCTTAATTTTTTTTTCCAGTCGGACAGTGATGAACATGATGTGTTATAAATATGCACCCCAATTTTCTTGTAGTGTTATCAGGTTTTATTTTACATCGGGAGGCAGTTTAATATCGCTCAGATTTTGGAGTCATTTTTACAATACTGAGTTTTCCCATCCAATAATTTGGTATGCCTTTCATGCTCTCCACGTTTCATTTATGTATCTCAATAACATGTAAAAGTTTTCTTCAACTGCACATTTACTAATTAATTCATTTTTAAAATTTTGTACTGGTTAACCAAAAAGTATGACAAGCAGAAAGGATGCTGGTATCAGTAAAAACAACAAGCTGATTTAAGTAAACATAAGTTTATTTAATAAATAACTGTAAGTATTCTATAGGCTTTAAGAAACAGTGTCTGTCTCATCAAGTTGTTGTATGAATTGAATTGATTAAATTATTGCATATAGGACACTTTGAACAGCACATAGTAAGCACTCAGTGAACATTAGCCTTCATTATTTTCAAATGGGTTAAAATATCACACTCTCCAAGGCGTTACTGAAAAAAAAAATCTGCCCCTATAACCTAATAAAATATATTGTGCATTTATTATTAGGCAGCAATTATTAATAAATAGAACAAAGGATTACTGTTGAAGAGAGTTCGTTTTTTAAGAAACTACACTTCAAAGACACTGGTGTGTGTGGAAAGGCAGAATGAGGTAAGCTGAAGAGAATAATACGCAGAAAAACGGCTGTATGAATAGCAGTTCACTATAAAGTCAGATCTGGCAATTCATATATTTACTTCTAGTTTATCTTATTACACCCTGAAAATGAAATGTGACTTCTCTCAGCACCACTCACAGGATGGGTTGTCATGTTGCAGGAGATGTCCGGAATGACATCTATGTCACCCTGATTCACGGAGAGTTTGACAAAGGGAAAAAGAAGACGCCAAAGAACGTGGAGGTGACCGTGTCTGTGTATGATGACGAAGGCAACCCCTTAGAGGTATGCACCGTGGCCCAGAAATCCTGCTGCCAGCACGCACTTCCCTAGAATAACAAGGGACTTTGGGCCTGATGTTAATTGTTCTCCACGTTCGGGTGCATTTGGTTTTTTATAAGGAAAAAATATGAAGCCTGTTAAATTTGTGATTAGTATTGGCCAGTTTTACTAATACACCCATGTAGACTCTTATTTTCATATTTCTCCTGTGCTAAGAAATATCTCAAACCACTGATGATTTCACGTGTATGCTTCCGATGCAGAGGTGTTTTATTGTGTTCAAATTATTTTGCCACTTTCAAGCCTGTTAAGTTCCTCCGGGACTTGAACAAAGTGGCCCGTGTGCCCAGAAGGTATGGAAAAGCACATTTCCCCGACCTGGGTGAGCAGAGCCAGAGGAGACACGCCCGTTAGACAGCTGTTAACCTGGAAGGTTCTTGGTTAGAGCTCACCTGCCCATCCCCAATAGTTTTAGTCATCAGGAAACTGCAGCACAAAAAGGTTACATTGTTTTCTCTGGGAAACATGAGCATTAGTGGTGGAGCTAGGAATGGATTCAGCTATTCTGACTTTCAGTCCAGAGTTGCCCCATCTGTCACAGCATTCTGTCCATATGGAGAAGCGAGGCTCGAGTCTTGCTGCTGACCTCAGAGAGGAGGATAGGCAGGAGGCTTTCACTGCCCCAGCTGACACCTGGCTCCTCTGTGTGACCCATAGTTTCCTGCCTTGGAATCCACAAATCAAGCTCTCGGTTCCCTCAGCTCCCTGAATGCCTCCTTCCCTGGCAGGGAAGGGCACAGCGAGGGTCAGCCTTGTCACCTCCCCGTCACTTTTATGGATAGAAAAATCTTTGAAGGAAACATATCCAAACCATCGACTAAGTCAAAGTCATATTCTGTATTGGAGGGACAAGCAGAATGCTGGGAGCCATGGGATGGGGGTAACTTATTTGTGCTATTGATAGAGCCCTGAGTCCTGTAAGTTGAATTACACATCTTCTCCTGATGGGTCATTTCACAGCTTTGCTAACTAGCTGGGAAGTAACCCCACGGAGGCCTGGCTCCGCACTAAGTGATTCGTTGCTAGGAAAAGACATAGCCCTAAGTTTCAGCGAGCATGCTGTCCTTAAAGCAGAGTGTAGACAGGACCTCTGAGCATGTGCATAGCTCCCGGCCACCCTCACCGGGCCTCTGCTCCCTGCCAGGGAAAAGAAGAAGAAAAGAGAATGTGTAGCTGGGGAGGGGAGAGAGAATAAAAGTTGCAGCGAAGAGGAGTGTTAGGATGGCGCTGCGTCCCTTAGCGACTACCACACTAGATCCTCAAATTAGATCCTCAAATCTAGTGGTAGAAATGCCTTCTAACTTTGCTCTTCCCCCCACAGGTACAATCAGCTTATAGGTGGCAGTGTTGGGAATGTGATGGCCATGTGGATGGAGGGCAGAGGGTTCTTGCTTGGTGTTTGGAGTACTCTTATTATTGTTCTAGATAATATTATCCCCTCCTAATTCTTTCTTTCCATCCAAAGAAAGCCATTCATCCTGGTGCTGGATATGAAGGTGTTTCAGAGTACAAATCAGTAGTCTATTACCAAGTCAAGCAGCCCTGCTGGTATGAGACGGTCAAGGTGAGAGTGAACCATTTGCAACCCCGGTTCATATATTAAACCTTGTTTAGATTCCTTTCTTCTTTTTACCCACAAATCGTTCCTACTTTACTCTGAAGTTTTAGACAGGTTGCTTATGGTGTGCAATAAGAAATGAATTGATAATTATAATTCTGTATAAGCGTATTTATCTTTAAGAAACTTGGAATTCTTAAATAGCATTCTCTTTCATAAATGTGTAGAAATTTGAATAGAGATACTCGTGGTTGTAATGCTGTAAATAGGCTGTCAAGATGGTCTGAAACCAAGTGGAAATTTTCACACGCTGCAAGCAGTTGCCGAATATTTTTTTTCCTTCTTGGCCTCTAACCAAGTTTTCTGGGCCACTTTTTGATTTAAATATGTATATTACAAGGTCCAAAGTGCTTTTCGTATCAGTCATCTCATGTGAGCGTTTCAAAAACCCTGTGACTAAACCAGTGTTGGAATGCTCTTTCTGATTAGGTTCCTGAGACTCAAAGAAGTTAAGTGACTTCCAAGATCCCATAGCTATTTAGTGTGAGAGCCTAAATTGCAGCCTACTGTTTCTGAATCCCAGTCTCCATCAGCTCTTTCTGATTGTCACAGTCTTATGAGCTCTCCATAGAAAACTCAGAAAATAAAAATTTGCATGGATATCTCAATTCAGAACTACTTTCCCCCATTTTATATGCTTCGTACGTTTTCAGTTATGCTGTTTGCACAAATGTATATCGTGCTTTTAAAAACTACTTATCTTGAAGCGTTAAAAAGGTCTTCAGAAATGTAATTGTAGCTACTCTCATAGTATTCCACTATATAATCATGCCAGGATTTATTTAACACAAATTCTTCGCTCTTTTCATTGCCTCACGCCTCTGCGTTCCCTGTTCCCCCTCTTTATGTAAGCCTCAGAAAGCATCCTTGTCCCCAGTATGTATCTTTTCCTCCTATTATAGACCCTAATTATTACCATACAAATATATACCCTGCAGTCTGAAAAGTCCTGTATGGACCTCAAAGTACTGATCTTCTCCTTCTAAGCATTTCCTCTTTCATACTTGAGAAAATACTGGAAACCTGTAATATCTCCATTCTCAGAATCTATCACAAATCACAAAGATAATCTTCTCCTGAGATTCTTTGGCTTGAAAGCAGCTAAATCTCCTTTGAATGAAACCTTCTGCCAAATCTCACTCTACAGCAGTAAGTGCTGTGAGAAGATGTTAAAAATGAGCCTAGTTCTGTAAAATGAGCTGTGAGTGTAAAATACTGTGCATATCTATAAACTATTAATTTCTTCTTGTTATGCAGGTATCCATTGCTATAGAAGAGGTTGCTCGCTGCCACATAAGGTTTACCTTCCGACACCGATCATCACAGGAATGTAAGTATTTGGAGGTACACAACATTTCCATCAAAAACATATTTACTCTTGTTTGATAGTGCTTTTGTGGGTTTGGAGAACAAGACACTTGGAAACTAGATACTTGGCTTCTTTATTTCAGAATTCATCGGTGCTAAGGAAATCAGAAAAAAAAAAGAATTTTTATGGGCTTTAAAGAACTGTGTTATTATTCTGTATCAGAATTTCCTCCAGATGTGTATTCTGTGAATACTGAAGTTCTATAAGATGCTAATAGATGCTCTATGACAAAGTTGAATAGGAAGAGGAAATACTGTACAATGTGTGATCACAAAATATGCTGAATGTTTACATTTAAAAAAATTTATTACAGTAAAAGATACATTGCCATTAATCTCCCCTCAAAATATCCCCCTTTTCGTTCTTGCCACTTTCTGAAGCAGTTTGGAATTTCTCTTTCATGAGTGTCTTTAGTTGCACTGTCATGGCTGTTTCGATGTCCTGAATTAATTCAAAACGTTTACCTTTCATGGCCATTTTGACTTTGGGGAAGAGCCAGAAGTTGCACAGTGCCGGATCCGGTGAATGAGGTGGATGAGGACACGCTGTAATGTTTTTATTTGACAGAAATTGATGTACCAGAAGCGATGTGTGACACTGAGCCTTTCTGTTGTGATCACAAAATACAGTGAATGCGGCTACCAAGTGCCATCCAACAGAAAGGCTGGGATCTTCAATATGGGAAGCTATGCATCAAACCTTGGTAACAGTGTGTGACAAGTTTCAACTTGTTCGATGCAGTCAGTCGGGGGTGAGCTACAATTCAGAGAAGGTGTGTTTTAAAGTGTGCCATAAATCATCCTCCATCATGACAACGTTGTGTGTCACACATCGCTTCTGGTATACAGCAATTTCTGTTCAATAAAAATATTATCATGTGCCTTCATCCACCTTGTTCACTGGATCTGGCACCATGTGACTTTGGGTTCTTCCCAAAAGTCTAAATGAGCCAGGATATCAAGGCTGCCACAACAGCACAACTGAAGATACTCACAAAAGAGGACTTCCAGAACGGCTTCAGAAAGTGGCAAAAACGATGGGACAAGTATGTTTGAAGTCGGGGGGAGTATTTGAGGGGGATTAATGGCAATGTGTCTCTTACTGTAATACACTTTTTTAGAATTTTTTTATTGAGGAACAGCCATGGTCATTGGTTACACATTGCTTTTATGCTACAATGGCATAGTTGACTCTTTTAAGGAGGGCGCAGTGCACAGTGGCCCTTGCGGGGATCGAACCGGCAACCTTGGTGTTGTCAACACCACCACGCTCTAACCAACTGAGCTAACCAGTGACCCCCCCATTTTTTTTAAGCATTCACCGTATTGTTTGATCACACCTCGAATATTTGTCTCCCTCTTAGACATTCACAATGTGTGTTGCCATATTGCTGAGAAGTTCTGCAGCCAGAAAAGTATTTAATCTGTTGTTGCCCAGAATGACTATTTTCCTCATGAAAGAACTACTTCAAGTCTTTGATTGCAGCTCGTAAAAAAGTGTGAATGGAGAAAAATCATGGTTTTCAGATTGATCACAAAATTTCTGCAAGTGTCTTGTTCTCATTCAGCACTTTGTAAAAATGCCATTCTTTATTCCAAACTGAATGTATTGGACCCATCTACATACCAGATTGCAGGCCAGGACCTGGGTGTATAACAGTAAAATGGGACACGGCCACTGCTCTTAAGAGTCTCTATGGTCTAGTTAGGAAGATGAGCAAGAAACCATGTGATTTAGTCCAGAACAGTGTCATCTGTGCAACAGCAGCAGAGTTGTAAGGGGGCCACGGAGCACAACTCCTAACCCCGTTGGGGGAATTGATGCTGAGATTTCCTACATCTTAGCTGAGATTTGAAGGTGAGTCGAAGTTAGCCCAGTGAAAGATGACAGTGGGGAAATGTGTTTGAAAACCAAAGTGAGCTCAATAGGACCGAAGTGGGAGCAGGGAGAGGAATCATAATATTAGGTTGAACCACATGAAATTGCCATTTTGTAGGTCAGTAGTCAAACATCAGCAAGTAGTCAAATATCGGTAATTTCATATGGTTCTTCAGAATACGAAGCTAGCATTTTTCAAGCCTTATTAGTTTTTACCAGCCACTAGGTGAAACTCTGTATACACGATCTTGTTTATATTCACAGAAATCTGATGAGGTATGTGCTACTTTTATCCACATTTATACTTAAAGAAACTGAGGCACAGGAAGGTGAGCTACTTGGCCAAGTTCACATTGCTAGTAAATGATAGAGCCTGGTTGATACCTCTGCAGTCTTGTTCCAGGCAGGCTGAAGCCAGATCATGACAGATGAAGGTTATTTTGAACCATGTTATGGAGGAGCCACTACAGGGTGTTTTATGGGTGGTGGTTTGGTATGTTTATAACAGTTTTATTCATAATACCCTCATATTGGACATAGCCCAGAGGGTCATCTGAAGGAGAATGGATAGACAAATTGTAGTATAATCGTACAATGGAGTACTGCTCAGCCAGTCTGGGGACACATGAGTTACAGCAGACCTTAGAATGGTGCCTGTAGTGAGAATAGGTTACAAGTTACCCCTTTCACTGATGTCTAGGTAGGGTACACGGGGAGCTCAGAGTTCACACCTAAAGACCAGGAGGAGGGGTGCTCTCTTTCTTTGAGTGGCTGGACCCTCCTCCCCAAATGCCATAGAGCACACGTATTCACTTCTCCTGGCACCCGAGATAATATCTTGGAAGGAAGAGGAGAGTAGAAACCTCATGAATGTGTTTTGGAGCAGCGTAGTTGACCTGATTAAATTTGACTTTGGAAATCTCATTCTGGCTGCAGTATAGAGAAAGTGATGGGTGGATAAGGACTGGAGACAGAGAGGCTGGTGAGGAAGGTCTTGTAGAAATTCAGGGAACAGATGAGGGTGGCCTGTACTTGGGTGGGAACAGAAGGGATGGGCAGCAAAGCACAGGTTCCAGAGGTATTCAGTATATGGAGTTGACACGGGGGCGGAGTCAGTGTCAAAACTCAACGTTTCTGATTTAAATAATTGGGTTGTTGCTGGTTTCATTCATTTGCCAATGTAGGGAGAGGAGCGTATGTGGAGGTACCAGAAGATTTCAGTTGGGAAATATTTCCTTCAAGAAGCCTGTGACACACATAGTACATATGACTTTTTGTAGCTTGCTGAACTGTGTTGGTTATAGCGTGATTCAACAACACCCCCCAGAGCAAAATGTGAAATCAGTCATCATAGCCATCACTTCCTGATATCTTTCTGCCCTGTTCAGACACGTATTTCTGTCTTTTCAGCCAGAGATAAATCGGAGCGAGCCTTTGGGGTGGCCTTCGTGAAACTGATGAACCCGGATGGCACCACCCTGCAGGATGGGAGGCACGATCTGGTGGTTTATAAGGTGGTGCTAACAGAATGCAGCTCAGAAAATGGCTGAGGAAATATGTACTCCCTCTGAAACTGGTTCTTAAGCTTCCTTTCAGATTTATGTGTAAAAACATCAAAAACTTCTCTAGAGCTATGTATGTTTGCCCCTTCAAGTCTAGAAACACAGGGGACTATGCCCCCGCAGCTGCATGGAGTCCCATCCCTTTCGGGAAAGAGTGCGTTGCATTATTATTTAGTCTCCCCGTCCTGCAAATGGCATTTCAGAATGGCGAACAGTCCAGGGCCTCCCTCTTGCCTTCTCCTCTTCGTGCCATCCTGCATGGAACACAGACAGTTGCACTGTTGGGCTTGATTAGAGTGTGGTGGGCATGGTAGGATGTGGTTTTCATATCAGCGAGAGCCATTGCTCTGCCATCGGGCCTCGCTTCCTTCCCTGACAGTTTTGTCCTCGTTCTTTCCTCTAACTGCTGCAGAACTATCACCTCTACTGAGATTTTAGAGTAGAAAGTAGACAAAAGAAGATCTCATTTGTCCCAACAATATCACAAGAATTGGTAGCTTTTTTGAGTTGCATCTGCCTGATCTGTATTTTCCTTAATAGCTAGCTATTAGTTCACAAATAGTTTTAGAAGGCATGGCAAGCTATTTCTTCCCGCAAGTGATTTTTTTTCCCAATGAACCCAGCCAACCCAATGACATAATTGTGACCATTTAGAGGGTCAAGAAAATGAAATCCAACCTTATTCTTTAATATTTGTTTATTTATAGCAGAGACCTAGGATATTCCTAAGTCTAGTTCACAACTTACTCCATTTTCCTTCAATGTTGAAATTATTTCCGGGCTCCAGCTCTGGGAAGGTATTACAGTGTCTCCAAGTTGGAAGGGATCTAGGTGTGATTTGATGAAACCTTGTTTCTCACGCTGGAAATGCACTGTGTTCATGATAGATACTATTTTTATTTGCATGTAAGAGGCTTTGCCCATCATTTGGTGTTCCTAACATGCTTCCTTTTCAGGGTGACAACAAGAAAATGGAAGATGCTAAATACTACCTGACCCTACCTGGAACCAAGCTAGAGATGGAAGAAAAAGAGCTCCAAGCATCCAGAACCCTGGGCAACTTTACCCCAAACAAGGATAGCACAAAAGATAGCTTTCAGATTGCCACTCTCATTTGTTCCACAAAGCTCACCCAGAACGGTAGGTGTGGTGACCATGGTGACGCCAGAATGAGTTTTCTGCTTGGTCCTCCTGGGCTTCTTTGCTAGACTGAGGGCCCTGCATCTTCTGAGATGGGAGGCTGGACCCCCTGCTCTTCACACGATGTTCTGGGTGGTACTGACCAGATAAGATAGCCAAAGCTCCTTCTGAGGTTTTGTTGTCCTTTTTTCAAACAGGGTGAAAAGCATTTTGCTGGATTTTAATATTGTGAAACCTATAAGTGAATTCATTAACAGGGGCTGTAAAATTAGAAAGTTCTATGTTTCCTTCCTTCAAGGCAGCAAACAAGTCTAATAATGTGCCCTGTATAATATATGTAACAAGAGCTGTTGGTAATAATTGGAGGACACTGGCAGAGAAATACAGTCTCCTGCCCAAACAGGCATGGTAAAGAGCAAGGAGGGTTTCCTGTCAGTGCTGTCTATCCCCGTATAGGCTCCTCTGTCCCGTTTTTTTCCCCAAGCACTCAGGGCATTTCCATAAAATCAGCTGAACAGTTCAAATTGACTTTGTTTTGTTCCTCCTTGAAACCTCTGACATCAGTTCTAACTTTTCTGGTGTATATCATGGCATTTGATAACCAATAACAGCATCTTATTCATTTAACCTATGTATCATGTAAGGAGTCCTACTGAACATAGTGAGTCAGGAATTAGCTGCTCAGGAGACTTGCCTTAGAAGTTCTGTGGCCCCTGTGCTATGTAGCAGACATGTCCCACTGGTCTCTTAGAAGATTTGGGTTAGGTACCTGGCAGGGATACTGCCTTAGGGAAGTACTAAGATCGACAAAACAGTGTAGATATGAGGTATGCTCAGGGATCAGACATTGGTTGTCTTTAGAAGGGGCTGGGTATTGTTTGTTTGGAGGAATCATGGTTGGCTAGAGAATATGACTAGTATTTCAACTTGGACAAATAGCTAGACTCAGTAGAGTGAAGCTCAGGGCTGATACACATGGGAAAGTAAAAGCACATTCACCAAAAATTAAGCCAGAAAAAGGCAACACTGGAGACAACATAAAGATCTGTAGTTGCAGTGGACTCTAGGGGAGACGGAGGGATGAATAGGCAGAGCACAGGGGATTTTTAGAGCACTAAAAATTGTATTGTATGATACTGTAATGGATACATGTCATTATACATGTCAAAACCCACAGAATGTGCTACACAGAGTGAACCCTAACGTGAACTATGACTTTAGTTAATAAACTGTATCGGTTGTTACAAATTTACCACACCAATGTATGATGTTACCAGAGGAAACTGAGGAGCAGTGAAGGGCTGTATGGGAACTCACTGTACTTTCTGCTTAATTTTGTGAACCTCAAACTGCTCCAAAAAGTAAAGTCTATTAATTAAGAATAAAACGAAAAGAAAAATTTAAGCCAGAAAATATTCTGAGCTTCACAGAAGACGTGACAAACTTGTATCAGTGATACAATCCTTGTTAGGGGAAAAGTAAATGTAACAAACTGCCGATACAAGGGGAAATGGTACAATATTTATGGAAGATGATTTAGAAAGTGAATCAAAGGTTAAAAATGTATTGAGATCCTTTGACCCAGTGATTTGACCCCTAGAACTTGAACTCAACTCAGCAATGAGAGATGTGCACAAAGGTTAATGTATAAGGATATTCTACTATTATTCCTAATAGGGGAATGGAAACAATCTAAAAGCTTAAATGATATAACATAATTAAATGATAAAACATATGCAGGGCCGGCCGAGTGGCGCAATGGTTAAGAGCTCGCTTGGGATGCCGGAGGGCCCCGGTTCGGATCCCACATGTGAGGGCCAATGACACTGCCCTCCACAGCTAAGATGCTGGGCAGCAGCTCAACCTGGAGCTGGGCTGCCGTGAGTCGCTGGCGACGGCGTAGGCTGCAGTCCCTGTGGCAGTGGGTTGCCATGGGTGCCGTGTGTGGCCGGCAGCCAGCGTGAGCGGCCGGCGGCCACAGTGAGCGGCCGTCCAGAGGCCGGTGAGTGATCTGCCTCACCAGGGAGGAGCGCAATGATGGTGCCAACTTGGTCCAGTGAAGCAACGTCCTCCGCAACTGGATTGAGGAACAAAATGACAGCAGCTTGTCTGTTCCCCTTCCCCCAATTCCCCAGCACTGTTCCCATCCCCCCAATTCCCCAATAAAAATCTTAAAAAAAAAAAACATATGCAGCTGCCAAATATATTTCAAAACATAATCCGAGACATGCAAACATTTTAACACTATGTAGAATATAATCCCAGTTTTGTTTCAATATATGAGGACAAGTTGGAGCCAGTTCAAATCCCAGCTCTGTTACTTACTAGCTGTTTTATCTTGGGCAAGTCACTGGATCTCTCTGTGACTCGGTTTCTTCATTTTTAAAATGGGAGTAATAATAGTATATATTTCAGAGAATGAAGTAAGTTAAAATAAGTGAAAGTAAAGCAACAGTGTCTAGCCCATTGTAAGCACTATATGAGTATTAACTCGTTATTATATCATCTTTATTATATGTACATAGAAAAAGACGAAAAGGAATAACTTCAAAAGTTTGGATAGTTCTTATTTATTCTTTTTGGTATTTCCCAAGTTTTTAACTATGAAATGTCAAAATGTTATTTTTTAAAATATGGTAATAGATGATATAAAGCAGTAATGTACTTTTGGGACTATCAAGAGGGATGGCATTTGTCGAACATTTAGTAGATTATCCTTCCCAGAGACTACAGTTCAAAGAAAATAATTAATAAAAGCTTGAAAATTAACTTCCAATGCAAAGCAAAAGGAATTTCTGTGAAAGATAACCATATTGTTGTGTTGGTTATTATCTCCAAGTCAGAAAGTTAGGAAGCTGATTGACAGATAGCAGTACTCAGCTTAAACACTTGATTTGCTGATATCTATATCACCCATCTTCTAAATATTCTAAAACTGTGCTGTCCTGCTGATGACAGCCACTAGCCAGCCATGAGTAGCTTGTGAAATTTAAGTAAAATTAAGTGACGTTGCAAGTTCAGTTCCTTCATTTCACTAGTCTCATTTCCAGTGCTCAGTAGTTTTCACGCGGTTGGTCGCTTCCGTGGTGGGCACCACAGATACGAAACATCCCTGTCATCACAGAGAGCTCCGTCGGATGGAACTCTACTCCTTCCTTTGTTGTCATCTCGTTCCTACTATTTAGATCTCAAAAATACTCAACATACCCCTGTCCCCTGAAAAAAAGTCTTAAATAATCCCCTCTTCCCAAAGAAGGTTTAAGGAGGCAAATTCATCTAAACCAGGGAGGGGTGATCTGATGTCAGCATGGACGGAGGTAGGACGAGGGGACAGATGTGGGAAAGATGAGGACAGCAGGATGTCGTGAGCATCGGAAAAGAGGGCATGCCCAGGGACAGATAATCACTGTGGGCGCTCATGTGTTTGCTTTATTCTAATTCGATGGACATGATAAAGAACCAATGTAATTTATTCCAAGAAAGTAGAGGCTGAAGACGATTGATAAGCCTTCAGTCTCTGAGGGCACTTCCTGCTCAAGAGGGCAGCCTTCTCCGTTCACACAGAGGCGTGACCGGAGGCATTTCTTCTTAGCCTTAGGAGGGCTATTCAGACTCGAAAGGTTAAAAGCCACTGGCTCTTGTTACACACAGATCTTGTGAACTCTTTATTTTATTAATTTTTTTCAAAACTGGAACAGACCAACTTATATGGGATCGTTAGTTGCTGGGCCCGTATGGAGGGTGAGGATAGATTGGTTTTTCCAGGAAAAAGACAAGGAGTTCAAGTTCCTGTAAATGTGGGGCACTGTGCTGGGTCATTCACTGTCATCCGACACCCTAGCACACCAAGACACCAGTATTGATTGCCATTATTAACCTCAGTGTACTTATCAGAAAATTGAGTTAAAGTGCTAAAACACCGGCGGTGCCAAAAAATTGTATACAAGTGGACACTTTGGTCAGTGTTGCTTGAGCAGTAGTTCGCTGTAATCAGAAGTGTCTGGACGCTGATGGTAACCACTTTGAGCACCTCTTGTAATTGCAGAAGTCAAATGTGACTTGTATTCATCTTTCGTTATCGGTATATATTGAGTATTGCAATTTTAATGCAGTTTTCCTGCCTTAAAATGTGTATACATTTTGTTGGCGCCCTCTATATTTTGCCTAAGCTCACAAGTGGTGTGGTGTTGGGTATGAAAATAGATATATAACTCCAAAGTGTACGTTTTTTTTTTTTTTGGTCTTTTCTTTTTAAAATGTTAGGGTGCCTCATCCTTTCCCAAAGGTATCCACTACCCTCAATTTGGGGATTGTTATTTAGAGTACACTGAATTCTTACATACTTCTGATGGGGATATAAATTGCGACAACTTTGGATAACCTTTGGGTAATATCTAATGGGATTGAGGATGACCATTCCTGATGACCCAGAAATTCCACTCTTGTTCTATACTCCAAGCAGCTGCTACACATGGATACCAGAAAATGTATGAGAATGTTCATAGCAGAATTGTTTATGATAGATCAAACTGGAAATGTGTATCTACAGTAGAATGGATAAACAATTATGGTACATTCACACAGTGGGATAGATACTGTGCAGCAATGAAAATTAACTAAAGCTCTTTGCCCCAACCTGTATGGACCTGAGAAACACAGTAAGTCTTGGGCTGTTTCCGTAACACTGTGTCAGCATTTTTCTAGCCTTAAGACCTTATGATTCACCAGATGCCAGATGTATTCCAAATATGCGCCATGATGTGGCATGCTAATATCTCTAGGGAGGACACCTCTGGGCTGATGGATGGGTTCTTTGAAGATGCTTAGAGCTGCTGGGTGACTCTTCACCCACTGAAGTATCTAAATCCTTTTCCTCAGGCAGCAATGAGTGAAGTGAAGTAAGGAATGGAGCAGTATCGTTAACCAGCCTGTGGCAGAAATAGGAGATGCGGGGATGGGAGTGGACCGTACCTCATGGATGGGCCTAGCATTGTGCCTATTAAGTACTGAATGAATTAATGAGGGAATGAATGAGTTGAAGAATTGTATTGAGCACATGACCAGCTTCTTCAGGGCTACCAGTTCTCTTTCCATCCATCCATCCATCCATTCATTCATTCATTCATTCATTCATTCTTCCATCCAACGTGTATTGAGCACCTAGGTGCCTAGCAGTGTGGTGGGTATAAGAATGGATGCAGCGTGTGGTTCCTGCCCTCAGGTGGCTCAAACCTATGGGAGGCGAAAGAGTTAGATACCTAGTGTGTCTTCATTATTTGTGTGGGTGTGTGTGGATGTGTGGATGTGTATGTATATATGTGTGTGTATGAATATGTACATGTATATGTACGAAGCAGTGCAGAGAGCAGAGAATGATTGGGTAAGTCTTCGCAGAGGAACTAGAGTTTGAGATGGGTCTTGAAATATAAGTAGGCCCTTATCAAATACATTGTATTATATTGGGTTGTTAGAAAAGTCATGACACATGTTTGCAACAGATGGCACTAGTTCATTTTTGGAGGCATTAGAGTCATTCACATCTATGTTATTGCTATGTCATTTGACAGCTTACAGTTCTAGCTTCATTCTAAAATAAAAATTGAG